AAAAACAAGGTACAAAGCAAATGCTGAGAGTCGTTCACTTTAGCTGTGGTAAGGTGTTTTCTCTGCATAGAGCATGCCTTCCTTTGGTGTTGCTCCTCTTTGTGTCAGGGAGCTATGTCCCCTGTGGTGCCCGTGCTCCTATTTCTGCATGAAGTCATGTGCTGAGCAGGAAATCTACAAGACTGACTTCACAGTGCTGTTTTCAGCACCATTCCTGTATAAAAATATTGAATTGCTAATTTTCTGTCTTTGTCAGTTTGCACCTGGCTTTCAGGTAGGGGATGGAATTGGAATGGATTTAAAACTATCCAACCACGTTTTCAATGCTTTGAAACAACATGCGTACTCAGAAGAGCGTCGGAGTGCCCGTGTCCATGAGAAGAAGGAACATTCTACCGCTGTAAGCATTTTTAGCACTCTATAACTTTGGGGAAACTCATGTTAGAAACTACTGTTTGTGGGGGAAAAGAACAAAACAAAACTTCACGATCTGCTCCCTTCCCCCCCCCCTCCTGAAATTGGCTTTTCAAATCAATCCTACTCAAGTGACTTTGCTTTTTGGCATTTTTTTACTTAACATAATAGTTAATCAGTTATTCTAAACTCACATGATGAAGTTTCCAGTTTCTAGAAGTTCTGCTGCCAAGTTCTTGCTAATTTTTAATTTATAGATGAGTACTCTGCATATATACCTGAAAGTCGGAAGAAGTCATCAGATCCTATTGTAGATAGTTCTGAGTCACCATGTAGTTGCTGGGAATTGAACCTAGGACCTCTGTAGGATTTGGCATAGGAGGTGAAGCCACAGCCTGGTCTACAGAGCAAGTTTCAGGACAGCCAGGGCTACACAGAGAAACCTGGGCTCAAAACAAAAAAGGTTTTGCCTATTACATGGATACTTGTAACTACTTGGACTTAACAGTCTCTAATGTTTTACATTAATGAAGATAATATATATATTGGAAATAGCAAAATTACTCAACTCTTTAAAACACTAATCTTTTGTATTAATGAAGATAATGTGGACTCTTTTAACGAGTGAATTTACTAAACTCTTGAAACTGTGCGAGGACTGGAGATGGCTCAGTGGGCATAAGGACACAGACAGATTGTGCTTGCAGAGGCTCGGGGTTTGACTCCCAGCGCCCACATCGGCAGCTCACAACTGCTTGCTTGTAACTCCAGCTCCAGGGGATGGCTATAATTAATAATAATAATAACAATAACAAAACAAAAATTTAAATATAATTAAAAATAATACTACCGAGAGAACTATTTAAACCTAGTTGGTAAAATAAAATTTTAATTAAACTAGTGTTTGGGTTTGATGTGTTTTAGCTTCCAGTTTATTTTTTAAGGACAGAATGTGAAAGTAATAGCCAAAGAGCCCTTATTCAAGGCTCAGGAGGTAGGGGACCACATAGGGTATACAGGGCAGGATGTCACAAGTTTGATACTGGATCAGGACTGGAAGAGAGTAGCTTTTGTCTCATAGCCTCAAAATACTCCAGAGGTGTTGTATGAGTTCTACCTTTATAAAAGCTAGAAAAGGGACCTGGGTGGGGTGGTGGCTGGGGAGGAGCGCGCTGATGTAGTAAGAAGGAGACAGCAGGTAAATTGACCCCCTCGCTCCTCTAGCCCCTTCTCATGCTCTGTTTCTGAAGGGGAGCTGTGGGGATAGCCTTCCATTCTGTTTTCTCCTCTGGGACTAATTGTTTATCTCGGGACAAAATTAGAGGTTACCAGAGCTCAGGGGGAACATTCTAATGGGCAGGAGTGTGTCTTGTGGCTTCTGAATTTGGTACCAAACATTCCTGGAGCCACAATGCCACCCAGGACCCATCACTGTCTCTGCAGCTTGTCTACGTTAGCATCCTTCCTGGGAAGAGGGAGAAGAATGGATGAGTACAAACTGTATGGTTCAGGACTCGAGGTTTGGTTTCCTTGAAGAGGCTCCTTTCCCGCAGTGGGGAGACAGCTAGGAAGCCAGGAGCGCTGTCTATGAGAAGGAGGTGAAGCCACTCTGCGGGGAGGTGAACTGGAGGAGGACAGTGTGAAGGCACAACAGATGCGTATTCATCTCCAGACGCTCTCAGAGCAGGCAGTCTTGCCTTCTGTCCACATTCAAACACTCCATCTCATGAGCGCCATGCTCTGCCATCTTGGGTTTTGTCCTTCGTTGGCTCCTTACCTTTGAAAATGGGTTACTATGGCACTGCTGTCAGCACATAACATCCCTTTGGAGTTTTTCCTCAAGAATCTCTGACCCCTGAAATACATGAAGGAGGGAGAGCGAGAAGTCTCTAGAAATGAAACCCTCAATAAAGAAGAAGACTGTCACTCTCCAACCTCCAAACCTCCTAAACCTGATCAGCCTCTAAAGGTGATGGCAGCCCCTCCACCAAAGGAGAATGCACAGGTGAAGCAAAGCTCCAGCCCTCCTGCTCGATCTCAGAGCTCAGACACAGAGCAGCAGTCCCTACAAGTGCTGGAGGGAAAGGAGCTCCAGCTCAGTCCTCTGCGGACAGACCATCGAGGAAAGATAATAAAGTAGATGGGGTGAGTGTCCTAAGAGGCCAACTGGGAGCTCCAGTCGCGGTCCTGGGATGGAGGGAACAGAGTCCACTGAAGGAGTTGGATAGGAAAGAAGGCAAAAAAGATCAAGACTTGAGATCTGCACCTGAGCCAGAGAGACCTGAGGAGAGCCCAGCCTCTAGGTTCAGCTCTGCAAGCAAGTATGCTGCTCTCTCTGGATGGTGACGACGAGACTGAGGGAGACGATCACACTGAGTAGGCCTCCACACGCTGTGCTTTCTTCTAGTCTCCACCCCGGAACACTCAAGGGCAAATCAAACCTCTATCCAGACGAGAAAAATAAAACTCACCATCTCCTGGAGACCTTTCTTAACTTTTTTTAATGAAATGAAATTGTTTCACATGCTGCCTTTTAAAGTACTGAAGTAACTGGAGAATCACCATCGTAGCCTGAGAAATATGGCTACTGCTTTTGAATGGGGAAGTTGTAATGTGTAATGAGGATACCAAGCAGCTACCTGTATGGCTAGTGCCTGGGACTCCATTCAGCAGAAATGTAGTGACATAATTAGACAGTAGAGAAAGGCACAAGGAAGAATGAGATTTCTACCTTTTAATTCATACCCTGTGATGGCACCTATGAATTCCCAAACATCATCTGAATAAATTTCCCATCGTTGGAAAGGTAATGGAAAAAGAAGAAGAAGAAGAAGAAGAGGAGGAGGAGGAGGAGGAAGAGGAGGAGGAGAGAAGAAGAAGAAAAGAAGAAGAAGAAGAAGAAGACTCTCTGACCTCTAAGGTTGTCTGACAGAAACAGTGACTCTACGGTCCAGACTTGGGACTGTCACCAAACCCAACTCTTTAGCCTCATGGCGCTGGAGCTGAAATCCAGGGGCCCCTGAGGAAAGAACTGTATTGTGATCATGCTCTTTTAAGAACCTGATTTCATGTACCCTTTAAAAAGGGAATCTTTTCACTTACTGTACTTTTATCTCTTACAGGAAAAGGCAGTTGATCCTAAGACACGCTTACTGATGTATAAAATGGTCAACTCTGGATTGCTGGAGACAATCACGGGCTGTATTAGTACTGGAAAAGAATCTGTTGTCTTTCATGCATATGGAGGGAGGTAAATGAACAAACACCGTTCTCCTCAGGACTGATGGATTATATATAATCAAACTTATGCTACATAGCAAGTAGAGTCATTATTGTAGAAAGTTTAGACATTACTTTTTATTTGTTTTGTATTTAAAACAACTCAAGTACCTACTGATCAAGTCTTTGCCTTTCATTTTCCTTGTGGTCGAGCTCGTGTTTAGCACACATAAGGCCCTGGGTTCAATCCCCAGCATCATAAAAAGGAAGCTGGTATGGGAAGGAATGTGCACTGTTGCACTTCTGATCCAGAGCCTCACTTGGAGACTGACCCTCATTTCATGGGATCTTTGTGGGGTTCAATGAGATCTTATTTCATAATTCCTAGTATTAATCTTAGGAAACATTTATTTCTTCCTTTACAATTTTGAGTGCAGTCTTTCAGAAGTTTGTATGCATTTATTTATTTAGCTTATTTTTCCCCCAGTTAACATACCTTTGACTTTTAGGTATTAGTGGACTATATATTTCTAGACTGCATTATACCTTTAAAGTTGTATTTATTTATGTATATGTGTGTACATACTACTGACTGTAATAGGCCAGGAGGCATGGATTCCTTGGAGCTGGTGTTGAAGTTGGTTGTGAGCTGCTTCCTCTGGAGCTGGAGGCGCAGCAAAGTGCTCTTGACCTCTGAGCCATCTCTCCATCCCCACACCATGCTATTTTAAGTAACATTACGGGAATATATAGGAAAATCCTAGAACTTACGTGTATTTTACAGCTATACCCTTAAGCTAAATTCCTAATGAAATTGCTGTGGAAATGCTGTATACCCTGTTTTTCCCCTTTTTTGTTAAATGGTTAGTAGAAGACTTTACTGAATAAAGAGCTGGATTTGTTCCATTTTAAATCCTGAGCCGGCTAGTGTATCAAGTGATGTTGTTAGATTTCATGTTTTTTCCTTGGATTTTTTTCATATATGAAAATTTTGATTAAAAGTTAAACAGTATATTTTCTTGGGGCTGAAGGGTTGGCTCTGGATAAAGTACTTGCTGTGCAAGTGTGTAGACTGGAGTCTCCTGTGCTCCTGTGGTAGATGGAGAGGAGACAGGAGAGCC